AAAAAAAAATTAATTCTACTGAAAAGTATCAAAATTAATGTTATTTAAATTTTTACAATGTGTGTATGTGTAATAATTCAGATTGTTTAAAATTTTAATGTATGCATTGTTGTATGCTACTATTTTCGTAATAAATGTTATAAACTTATGAATTTTATAAGGTATTTTTTGATTTTCTTCGATATGTCCTTTATTTTCCCCAAAAAAATATGGTCACTGTAATTATATCAGAAAAATATTTTTTCCATGGCTTGTTCTCATGCAGTCATCAAAGCAAGGGAAAGACTGACAAAGTATTAGGTCATAATGTTAATAAACAAATCCTTTGTTAAATAAACCAACATATATTCTTAACTGGCTAATTATTTTACGGTTAATGTCACATTTATCAGTTAATGTAGAAACCCTAAACTTTTTTTATATTAAAGTATGTTACTGATTATTTCATTTGAGCACTACATGTCATTTAATTCCATATTTTCCTGCTATTTTTAATCATAAAAAAATTTTAAAAAATAGAAAACATCAAAAGTGATTACTCTTACCTTCTTTTACAGTTCATAGATGCAACTTTACTCCATGTTCTGGAATTAGGATCAAAGACTTCAACGGTGCTGAGTCTCTCGCTGCCATTGTAGCCGCCGATAGCATACAGTTTGTTATGCATAACAGAAACACCAACACGACTTCTCAACATGGTCATGGCTTCTGCCATCTGCCATCTCTCCACTTTTGGATCATAAACTTCCACTGTACTCAATGAATCGCCTTTGAAATAAAATTTCAAATTACTAAATTTATTTTAAATCTTCAATTCTAAACATATATGAATTATCTTTAATTAACGAGAAAAGCATAATATGAAAAAATAAATTATTATCTTAAAAATTAATAATATAATCATCAAATCATTGGTTACATAAATATATATCCGATAATTTGATAAGATATTTAACATAAAATATGAATACAAATGCAAAAATAAGCATAAGGTTTAATTTGGCTTATTTCTCAAACTACTAATCAGAACAGCATGAAACTTAACATATAAGCAAAACATTGCATTCTTTATGTAAGAAAACAATTGAAAAACAAAACTTTAATCTAAATTATGTTAATTGAAAAATAATAAGAACCATCATAAATCTTTTTGCAAAGAAAGTAATTAATATATGCAATTGTATCTTGCAATGCGCAGCTCTTGATTTATGATAATTGTTATAATATTTATCAACTCTGTTAGAAACAAAGTCCATTCTTAAAGAAAAATATTATGATGCTTCAAGAATATTCTTGGTGGAGACTGACAGGATGCAGCATGTCTGCCTAGAGCATCTCACACATTCTTTTGGATTTAGGTATGGAGATCTTGCTGGTCGGGCAATGTGATGAGTATATGAGTATCTTCACTAAGAAAGTAATTAACAAATGCAGCCCTATGTGCCCAGATATTGTCATCATACAAAAATGAAATAAGCATCCCTAGCAAATTCATAAAAGTGTCACATAAGGTTCCAAAACCTTGTGTCTGTACCTTCTTGCAATAATGGCACTCCTTTACAAAAACGTAGTCCAATGAGGCCATTAAACATAATACCATTCCAAATCATAATACTGTATTACCTCCTAAAACCTGGTCTCTTTCCACAATATTTGTGTGACTGTATTGGGTTTTCCACTTTCTCAAGATTCTATTCCAATGAGATTCATTCTGTAGACTGTAAGTGAACTTGTCAATAAATAAAACATTGCCTTATTTATTCAAAGTCTAACGTTAATGTTATTAACACCATCTTAAACAGGCTCTGTGAGCAGGGATCAATGGACTGAGTGAAAAAACCTGAAGCCTCCTGTACACACACTGTCAAAAAAACTATCACTAATGAGTGTAAGCAGTTCAGCAGAGAACTCCTTACTAGACATTCTTTTGATACAACATACTGCTAACGTAAAATACAGGTCCTATTCAGGCATGGTTACTCTAAGATGTCCACTTTCTGCTTGACATATATCACCAGTTCTTTGAAATCTGACCCAAACCCTAGATGTGGTGATCTGTATTTAATAAAATCTTCTTTAGCATCAACTGTGTGGTATATGGCACTGTCAGTATCATAAAGTAAAACAGTAACAAACTGTTCTCAATGGATGAATCACAACAAAAACAATGCAATGCTGTTGTTATATCTATAGAGCCTTCATATTCTGCATAAATTTGTGCTTTATAATAAAAGTATGAAACTTTTTACTACATTCCAGATATTTTCATTGTCTGGAAACATTTACGTACAATTTCCGCTATTTATTTTGTTTATTTCTGCTCTATTGAACAATTATGCTTACTTTTTGGACATATATATATATATGTATATGTAGTAGTACCCCATTAATCAAGATTCTATATCAGTGTTTCTCAACGGGGGCGATAACGGGGGAAAAACGCTCCCATGTGGGCGTTTTTCCATGTTGAGGGGGCGATTAGTAACAATTTATATTTTATGGGGCGAAAAACAATTTTCTGGGTGATATAGTAAAACATTATATTAAGAATAATTAGATATTTTATTCATTACATCCTACAATAAATAAACAAATAACATTATATGTACTAGTCACTATTCTATTCGATGCANATAGCAACTTTAGGATTTTACAAAACAACTAATTTTAAACAATATTTTATACTTTGTATAATGTTGAACTCAAAATTAATACATTAAGCAGAATACAATTCATGTGATGATCTGATAGAACAGTAAAAGTAAGTGTTTGGTGAAAAATATACATACAGCAGTTGGCTGTAGATATAAAATAAAAAGTGCTTACCCAGGCAGAAAAAACACATCACTATGCAATATGTCCTCGAACTGTGATGAAGCACTGACATCATCATGGCAGTCTCATCATCATCATCACCATTTGACTTTCCATCTATCATCGCCAGTAATTGTGTTCCTCTTTAATTTAAGTTTTGAACACGTGTGTGTTAGGTAACCATACAAAAAAGTGTAACATAAATTATAAAATAAAATCTCTGTATTATTCTGTTATACTGTATCAAGCCAACGGATCTCTTAGTCAAGTGGTTTTGCTCAGTTCTGATGTTACTAGTCTTGTTTGCAAGTAAATAAATAAATACTTTGATCCAAATAACAATGAAACAAATTTGTCTTACAATTATTTATTAGACAACAAAAATATAATAATATTGCACTTGAAGAAAAACTACAATCGAATTAACAATATATTAAATGTGAACAATGTATGAATATAAATTTATTGTTCCTATTTAATATATAGCATGATTTATATATATATTTAAATACCTATAACAATGTACAAATATTTAACAATACTCGTTATGGCAAAATTATTTATAATCGATGTAATAGCTTAATATTCGGAAAAATATCGAATGACATAATTTTATGCTCGATATTTTAAAAAAATTGAACATTTAATTAAATTTTATGCATATTCTATCAAAATTTATAAAACAGGTATTACTCCCACACCTACCCCACCCTCGTGTGCCCACATAGAAGCCACAAAACTCCATTGGTCTAGTTCGGGATTGTATACTTCAACCGTGCTCAGGTTCGACACTCCGTCGTATCCTCCTATGGCATAAAGTTTCCCACAGTTAGTCACTAGGGCCACCCTGCTACGCATTACGTTCATAGGTGAAATGTAACTCCATTGTTTAGTCAGCGGATCATACACTTCCGCTGTTTGCAAAAAGGTAGAGCCGTCGTACCCACCGCACACATATATCTTGCCGTTCAGAGTAGAAACACCCAATCTGCACCGTTTCGTCAGCATGGGTGCCATGGGAGTCCATTGACCTGTCTGAGGATCGTATCTCTCCACCTGTTGCAAATCACAGATAGAGTCCACTTTCATTAATACTATAAAAACCGAATTAGTCCATTAATCGTACTTACGGAATCAAAGATAGAAAGTCCATCGTGTCCACCCAATGCATAAATGTGTCCTTCGAAAGCCACCACTCCTGCTGCACTGCGATGTTTGGACATACTGGTCACCATAGTCCATCTGGAATATTTTGAATAAGTTCCAATGTTAAAATTATGGTTCAAATTTAGAAATTAATAAATATTTTATCATTATGTAAAATGTTACATTTAATAGTTAACTGCATATTAACCAAATTAAATAATTAATTTCTATATACTGTATATATCAAGTCAAATCCAGGTGAGCATCCCTCCAGAAATTTTTCATGGGCAGTCTGAGCTGAATATGTCAGGCCCCATCCCATTGCGATTCTATTAAACTCACAATGAGTGCAGAAAAAAGGACCACTACTGCCCACAGGGCATAGGTCTATTTTGGAAAAAGGACCAGTATTTTGCTCTAGAGAAAAAACAAAGCTTAATGGCATCATTCAAATTCTCTGAAGTCTACAAAAGTTCACACACAACTATAAATAAAAAAATTTATATCAGATTAACGTTGCTTAATGAACCTAAAATATGTCCAGAAGTGCAACCAGTAGAAGTACTATCGCTTGTTAAAATCCACCAAACACAAACTTTAGTACTTATAGCAACATGACAAATGGGTTATCTGGTGAGAGGGATGTCTCCTAGAACTTTCTATGGGTAACTTGCACTTATTTAGGTGTTATAACCTAAAGAAAACTCGGAAACTTCCACATGGCCTGCCTGTTGTTGAGGTGCAAACCCTTGACTAACTACAAGTGTTTAGTGTGGCCATTGGCAAGTACAAAAGCTTTAGTTAAAAATACTTGTGTCAGCTTCTGGAGTTATCCTAAGTGGAACATCACTTCAGTGAATAAGTGGTGCAATGTAATAAAGTTTTGCATTTTATAAATCAACCCTTAGATTTGCAGAGAATTTTCCTATACTTAAAAGGTCAATTTCTAATATACCCAGGGTGGCCAAGCTCCTTGATAGTCCAAGCCATTTTTCAAAATTTGAAATTTTTTGCGAGCCGCAATTAAATACGTATTAAAAAGGTATGCAAAAAATTCCAGAATACAAATTATATCCGTAGCAAAAGTGATACAAATTGTTTCTTCCAGAGCAATGACAGTTTACAAATTCAAAATCGATCTGGAGTAGGTCGATAACAGACAATTACGCCACTGTTTATGTTCGTTCGAGCAGTTTTCGATGAGTCATATCATTCTTAACTTGGATGGAAATGAAATTTGTTACAACGTTGCACATAGTCTTTCATATTTGTTGTTAGTAATTTAAAAGACATTTTGAAACACATACGGAACGATAATAATTTTTTAAAATATAATAAC